AGCCACTGGCCATCAGCACAAGAATAGCAATGGCTTTCCTTCCTCCACAGAATGTCTTAGTGTGCCTGGAAAGACAGGTGAAAAAGTAAGCCTGCATTTTAGGCAATCTTTAAGCCAAGTTGAAAGTTATGAAAGATTTGGGTAAGCTCCTTTCTAAGCACCTTCAAAATTCCCAGAGGGCTTTTCTTATGTGGTAGGTATTATAATGAAAAAAGACCCAGACATGACAAGAGACACATGGGTAAAGACAGCTATTAAAGCAAGAATGATTGATTTCATAACATTCCAAGGTAGCACTCTTTAACTCCAGATACAGCCACCTCTCAATGTCGGCCTCCCTAATTTGCATAGGTAATTGACAGCTTGTTAACAGCTCATTAAGAACACTGAAAACCATGTGACAACTACAATCGTGTGCATAAATGGGGATAGAATCTGTGACTTGCAGGATGTTGAGAACTCAATCAGATCTCAGATTACAGGTCAGAAAACTAGTGAAAAAACAGGGACATTGACCAACTTTTTTTTAGAATTTTATTTAACAGTTCTGTGGTCCATCAATTCATAAACACAAACCTGGGCCACGATGATTTTCAGAATTCAGCACTAACGGATGTGACAATATAACTTCCAGTTTAATATATAATAAATACTTACCGGCTGATCATTCTCACTTTCTAAAAACACCCATTAAACTGCTTATGCAGTTTTAAAATTTGTTCTTAAAATTCACCTTTTTCATAAACACAAGTCATTTAGACATCACAATCTAATATTCTGCAAGTGAGAAAAATGTAAAGTGTAATTTGATTTTAGACTATAAAAAGGAGATAAGTTTCCTGATTTGCACAGTTACTATCCGTAAATTTGGAGGCTGCGTTTTTTTAAAAGAACATTTGAATATAAATAGTGCAAATAATTGTTACATCAGCAAATCTCTTCTCAGCATAGATGCCTGTGCAGAAACCTTTGTCTGCAAACTGTCTCTGCTGGATAGAATAAGGAGTTTAAAAGCTGTGTGCAGCCACAGTGGAGATCAGGGAGCTCAGTGCCCTGCCCCAATGTCACCTGTGACTGATGCTGACTCTTATGTTTTCTCTAGCTGCCTGTAGATAGCAGATATGGACTGAGGGTCCAGGAATGCTGTCCCAGGCTCAGTCCTCTGGATTCTGAAACCACCCTCCAGTCGCAGGACAGCCTAGTCTGCCATGCTTCTGGCTAACTTAGCCAAACCCACTCTACACATCTCCTTGTCCCCTGACAGGTACTTTCAACTGAGGAGGACTGATATGGTTGGCTCTGTGTCCTCACTCAAATCTCATGTTCAATTGTAATTCCCAGTGTTAGAGGAAAGGCCTGGTGGGAGGTGATTGAATCATGGGGGCAAACTTCCCCCTTGCTGTTCTCCTGAAAGAGTTCTCATGAGATCTGGTTGTTTGAAAGTGTGTAGCACCTCCTGCTTTGGTCTCTGTTTCTCTCTCTTGCTGACTATGTGAAGACGTGCTTACTTGTTTTTGTCTTCTGCCATGATTGTTAAGTTTCCTGAGGCCTCCCCAGCTATGCTTCCTGTACAGCCTGTGGAACTGTGAGTCAATTAAACCTCTTTTCTTCATAAATTACCCACTCTCAGATAGTTCTTTATAGCAGTGCAAGAACGGACTAATATGAGGACTTTCTGACCTGGTTTGTTTTCCCTCCCTCTGTTCTCTCTGTATGGCTAGTTCCACATCATCCAATCAGGTCCAGCTTAAGGGACTCTGCCAAAACAGTGGAGCCAAATGGGGAGAAAAGAGCACAGAATCAAGATTTAGGAGATCCAGGAGTGCCATCCAGAGCCCCGGCTTCACCATCGCTAGAAAAGTAGTTCATCCTGACTTAGACGTTTAACTGGAGAAGGTCTCAATTTCTTCACCTACAAAATCAGAGTGATACTACTTAGAGATAGGAATGTGGGATATGATGAGATTTCTCTTCAAATAACCCAATCAATCTTTTATTCTTTAATTCATAGTACCCTCCCTTTTTTCCCTTTTTTCTCCTTTTTTTCCTTTTTGCCTTTGTTAGATGCCCAGGCGCACCACAGTACCAGGTGCTATCAGTACCAGCTCACATTTCTTTCCTTATTTGGAAAGAGGACTAGCTTTCTAACTCATTTACAGATATTCCTTCCCCTTTCCTCTCCACTTTCTTTTACATGCCCACCTTATCTAAAAAAAGATAAAATGTTTAGCCCACCAGGATTAGTTTAGATTGTATGACCCGACCACAGCCAAAGGGGGAAGGGTACAGGGGCAGGACTGGCATCAGGAATAAAGGCTCCTATGCCCCTTTGTACAGGCGTGCTCTCATGGTGACTGGCCAAGGAGGCACCCCTCTGTGCAGGAGTAAAATTGTTTTGCTAAGAATCCTTTGTCCTTAGGATTTGGAGCGTTATTCCTAACAGGAGTAATACTATCTACAGTTGACTTGAACAATGTGGGAGTTAGGAGTTAGAAAAGAAAATCCAAAGAAAGAGGAAATATGCTTACTATTCACTAACTGGGAGTGGTTCATCATAAAGGTCTTCATCCTCATCATCTTGAGAATGAAGCTACATGTTGAGTAGATGAGGAGGAGGAAGAAAAGAAGGGACTTGTCTTGCTCCCTCAGGAGTGGCAGAAGTAGAAAAAAGTCCCTCGAAGTTCAAACTCTTGTTGTTCAAGGGTCAACAGTACTTAGAAATCTTGGTAGTGTTGTTTAATTGAGATAAAGCCATGGTACAAGATAGAATCATGAAAAGATTGAGAAAGATAATTAATTCCAGTCACAAAGGTCTTGGTAGTAAGACAATACCAAAGATGTCAATCAACTGAAGCCAAGTGGCCAAAGATGTCAATCCAATCCAGAGGCTGAACAGAGACATATATCATGGCCTAACAAGAACAGATGAACTGGATAAGGCACAGTCTTCATCTCTGGAGTCTAAACTGAAAAAAGATGATGGTGATGGTGATGGTGATGGTGATGGTGATGGTGATGGTGATGGTGATGGTGAGAGCTGAAGCCGGAAGTCCATGGTGTAGTGAGACCTTTGAGACTGCCCACTGAAGGCTTTCTGCAAACAGAAGGTGTGAGGAAGCAGAAACCATGACTAAGTGAAAGACATGGAGGGAGAAGACACAGAGTGGAGGGAGGAGATGAGAAGGCACAGAATAGTGAGTGGAATAGGCAGGGAACCATCAACAGAGGGGCCACTCCCTCCACCTGAGGTTCTGCTGTGCAATTTTAGTCTAGGAGTTGGCAAATTTCTTCCACCAAGGGCCAGAGAGTAAACACTTTAGGCTCTGCAGCCTTACGATCTCTGTTGCAAGTACTCACCTCTGCTGTTGTAAAGCACTGAAGCAGCCATAGACAATGAACACTTCTGAAACCAATGAGCACACACCTAAAAACTGGAAGATGCCACAAAAGTACATTTCATTTTGTCTCAGGAAACTTGAAGATGTGGCTCCCAGGGCTGCTTTCTGACATAGTGGCAATCACTAGGAGTTGGAGGGAGCCTGATCATGGCACCTGCTCACCAACATTGCCCACCCAGCTCACATGGGCAGCTGAGTTTGGGAACTTGCAAGCATCAGGTACTGCAACCACCACTTTAGAACCAATATCTCTAATCCCTCACCAACTTATAAAGTTAGTATCAGCATGACTATTTCACATAAGAGGAAACTGAGGCTATGGAGTTAAGGTGACTTTTCCAAGATCACAGTGTTGATAAGTTGCTGAACAAAGGTAAAACTGCTGGAAACAAAAGCAATGTTTTAGAAAGTTCTGGAAGAATTGTTCTCTTCCCTCCTCTTTCCAGTCCTCTTCCTTCTGATCTGGCCTCCAATTTCTCTCTTTTTGCTGAATCTCTTTAATTTCTTCAGGAAATAACTCCCAATGTGAAAGAAGAATACACATTGCCTTTTTTTCTCTCCCTCTCTAAATGTAATTTTCTTGTCTCAGATGCAACAAATTCCTTTAAGAGTGAAGATAGTGCCTTAGGTTTCCTTTATTCCCCCAGAGAGCTTATCATAGCCAGAGCAAATAATAGATCCTAAATATAATCAATCATGGTGGTGGTGTGGGGCGGGGGTTTTTTGGCTTCAGCGTCTGACTTGATCTTTTTACTAATAACATACAATTAGATCCAGGGAACTAACTCCTCAAGCAAGAGATCTGAGAAGAGAACCAAGAGGAGAACGAAGAAAAATAAATTCATGCTATAGCAAAAGGACCCACACAAAAATCCATGCAATCTGCATAGTGGGAAGGATGGAGGAGTTAGAAGACTTGAGCTCAATCCTCAGATCTGCCGGAACACACTCCTGCTACCTGCAGTGTGGTCGGAGCCCCAGCAACCCAAGAATCACCCAGGAACTGGTTAGAATTGATCATTCTGGGCTCCATCCTAGAAGAACAGAATGAGAATCCCTAGAGGTAGGCCCAGAAATTGGTGCTTAATGATCAGTTGGGGTGATTATTAAACACACTGAAGTTTGAAAATCACTGACTGCATGCATGTTGCTGTCTCTGGGGGAGCTTTAAAAGGCAGTACTGACTGGGTTGGGGTTGCCAGATTTAGCAAATAAAAACACAGGTTGGCCCAGTTACATTTGATTTTCAGATAAACAACAAATAATCTTTTAGTATAAGTATGACCCAAACTGTGTATTTTATCTTGCATCCCAATCCCGTTTCTACCCTCAGGGATTCTCATTTCATTGGTCTGAGTGAGGCCCGGGCTTTGGGATGTTGAAAGTTGGTGTGCAGCCAATGTTGAGAATGGTGGCCTGAGGCAGGCCCCCACCTCCCATATTCCATCCTGAAGGCTTCTCTGCCTCACTGTTTCACCTGGATTCTAGTTCTGGGGTTGGGGAATGGGATGGCAGTGGAGGAAGTCGATTTTCCTAGGTTGCAGCAGGTTGTGGATATTGAAAATAGGCTAGAACGATCAAATAGGAAATCTGCTGTGAAGATATGTCATGATTTCCTTTATTTCACAGCTGAGTACAAATTGCCACCATTTTCTTCAGGAGAGACAACAAAACCCTACCACACAAATACCTAAGAAATCAAAGGTTCTCGATAGCAAGTTACATGGGCCCTTGGGTGGGAGGTGGGGAGTGTTTGGAGGAAGGACGTGGACAATGATACATGACACTGTGATTTGAAATTTACTTGAGCACTTAGGCTAATGAATCAAGTGGACTTGATTACCCCAGAAATCCAAACTCTCTTGATGTGTTCTCCCTTTCTTGGAGACTGAGACTCTTATTCCCAGTATCTCAGGCTTTTAGAGGGAAGTAAAGCAAGGCATGGGTGGGAGAAGCTCAGTAAACAAAAGGGCATTTCCCTCATGGCAGAGTCAGCTGCTTTACACAAGGTCTAGTCTCACGGCTTCTCCAATGGCCAGGACTTGGTGCAAGCTGAAGGTTCTCCTCCCTTGGACATGAACTTGGCTAAACATGTTGCTCCATTCAGCTATATGAAAGAGGTCATTCTCTCTTTGGAAGGAATATTTTCTCCCTTTATCCAATGATCTGTACTTTACAGGACTGTAGAATAAAATTCCAGCCTGGAGCAATCACAAGGTTTCAATCATTGTATTCAGAAGTACTAATGGTACCTACGGACTTTTTAATACAGGGATCTACTTTTTATCTTGGATCAACCTGAAAATTCATCTTCTACTTTTTAATTCTTTGTGTCCTATTTTTTCTAACTCTTCTGCTTAAATCCTTCTACATATATAAATATACTTATGTTGCCATCCCTTTCCAAGTATTCTGTTAGTTCTACTTCTTGAGGTGTCCATTCTTCAGCTTGCTGTGTCTAACTCCCTATTCAGTGTCTTCTTTCCTAGTGCAATTTCATGATTTTGTATTGAGTTTGTCTTTGAAAGAGCTTTGGTTTGGTTTTGCTCTGTCTTTAAACCTATGAGAATTCCATGTGGCCCAAGTTTGAGAATGTGTTCCTAAAAATATATATATATTTTGCATGTCTTTCTACAGGGACCGTAGACCTGTGTCTAGTGTTTTTGACTTCGATTCTCACATCACAAAGGCAATGTAAGCTTGAACTCTCCCACTTTGCACTACATGAGCTTGTAACTTTGATTTCTCATGAGAGACATTTTTTTCCTACCCAGAAACCAAGCTACAAGACAAGCTTTCTCACTGTTTCTCTTAGTCTATCAGATCTTTTAAAGGTGCATATCTCATGCTGGGGGTTCAGTTCTGGTTCCCACCATATACAGATTCAAAGCGGCATTTCCTGTCTTTATGTAGGCAAGAAATTTCAGACCCAAAGGCCTATAATCAACAGCTCTGAAGGACAATATAGTATCGGCAAACTGAACTTTCATTTCAAGTACCTAAGCATTCCCTTTCTTTGAGTTTATGTGTTCATTTTAAAATTTATACTTCTCTAGTATTTTTGTGTATTTGTATGAGGAAGGTGATGCTTACTGGTTCAGTCTGCCATGTTGCTAAAACCAGAAGCCTGAAAGTTAATCTTGCAACCAAAGAGTCAGAGACAGTGAATTCTTTCCAGTCCACTCAAGAATTGTTGGCAGCAAAACAAAGGATATGGATAGAGCGTCTAAGTATAGATCAACACAATGTAAAGAGCTGTGGTTGTGATTTTGCAGAGATGTTCAAAAGCTACTCAGACAGAGTAAAGCATGGAGCAGACAATTCCAACATGGTACTGGCATTTTGTAATTATAATCAATTATTCATTATAATCGATCAATAGCTATTTCTGCTTAACAAACTATCTCAAAACTTTTGGCTTAAAATAGCAATCATACCTTATGATTTTGTGGTCAGGAATTTGGATAAGGCTCAGCTGGGTGGTTCTTCTGCCCCACACGATGCCACGAATGGTGTTCTGCTGGTGAAGGGCTAGACTGAAGAATGTAAGAATACTTTATTCATATGCATGATACACTATCTGGTTGGGTAAGCTGGGATTGTTGACCAGAACAATAACATGTGGCTTCTCTAGCATGGTGGGAAGATTCAGACTTCATACGTGGCTCAGGCCTTTAACAGAAAGTTTCCAAAGACAGGAAGTGGACACTGTCAGATTTTAAGTTCTCAGCATCTTTTCTGCCCTATTCTTCTCATTGAAGTAGTCACAGAATCCATAGGAGGGGTCTTTTGGCAGGTGATATACCTAAGAATTTGGGGTCATCTTTCACCTGCCACGGTAAGGCAGAGAGCATGAGCTCTGAAGCCAGGCAGGAGCATGCAAAATGTTAAGCCTTTCTAAGCTCCTTCTTACTTTCTGACTCCAAGATAGTTTCTGAGCTTTTGTTTTCCTCATCTGAAAAAGGGAAATATTAATATGGAATCAGATTGAAATATTTCAGCTACATTAAATAAAATAATGGTAACCTAAAAGTGAACGTGATGAATTTGAACAGAGAATTGGAAGAAGGCAATCTTTTTTACAGATATTTGAGGAGGAAAGTGCTTAAATTCTGAATTAAAGATTGAGATCATTTTGCTCTTTGGAATAAGGAACTTGCTGCAAGAAAAAAATGCTTATCCAATGATAGACTAATGTACAGTGTATTAAAAATAAAACAAAAGTGCTACTGTGAAGAGAACCTGCAGATCACTGATGAAAAAGGAAGAAACATCTGGACCATCTGGGTTGAACCACAGCAGAGATGATCCCCTTAGATGGTAACTTTTAGTGAAATGGTCTTAAAAGTGAATGTCAGACTCCCACTGCATTTTATTTAGACTTTGAAATTTATCGGCCGGGCACGGTGGTTCATGCCTATAATCCCAGCACTTTGAGAGGCCAAAGTGGGTGGATCGCCTGAGGTCAGGAGTTCAAGACTAGCCTGGCCAACATGGTGAAACCCCATCTCTACTAAAAATACAAAAATTAGCCGGGCATGGTGTCAGGTCCCTGTAATCCCAGCTACTAGGGAGGCTGAGGCATGAGAACTGCTTGAACCCAGGAGGCAGAGGTTACAGTGAGGAGAGATCACACCACTGAATTCCAGCCTGGGTGACAAGAGCAAAACTCTGTCAAAAAATATATATATATATTTTTAAAATATTGCATATATATTTTATATATATATATATTATATATATAATTACACTTAAATTAAGTGAACAATAAATTATAAATAGAGCCCATCCCAGGGTTTCAGTCACTAGCACCTGATTGCTTTATGATGCTCAGTACAGCACATATCGATAAAGCCCTTCCAGCATCACCTGCTGCAATGTAAGCTTTCTGTTCATTTTAACACTGGCCATGCTGCTGTAGGGAGGGTTATTATTCAGCCTTGGAGATGCTAAGGGTCACACATCCACCTGTGAAGGCTTTATTTGGACCCAGGACAGATTCTCACCCATGGGCATCCTGTTCACACTTCACCAGGCTGGGCTAATTCCACCCACCTTCTCTCTGCCCTGAAGGACTTATCACATAGTTACACCTATGAGAATTTCAGCAATCTCAAAATGACTTCCTCTGGAAGTATTTGCAAAAATGGGATAATGGTAGAGGCACTAAAACTGTTCCTACACTATAAAACCAGCAACTCTCCTGCCTATAAAATGCAGGTTGGGGTAGGAATGGTGAGAATAAGATAAAGTGTAAGGTCTTTCACCTCCAAGGCACTTGGATATTACATCTTTAGACTGTTTTACTGCCCGCATTATTCCCAAATGCTTTTTGGGGGAGGGGGGACATTTAGAAAAGTGAATTTCTTATGGTCAAACCAATATGTTGTGGTTTATGACAATTTTATACATTTATGGCTAAGAACCTATCTGCAATCACTTCCTAGACAAAAGTTAATTGTCTTAGAATTGAAAAAACATAGTTTATTTTTTACACAATTTCTGGGATTGGATTTCCCAACATGCAGCCCAAACACCTGCTCAGAGCACAGGCAAAATAGAAGAAGTCTCACCCCAAAGTCAGCAGCAATTTTTAGAAAAACTTGACATATAAAAACCACATAAGAGCTATTATGTTGGACATTCTTGCTGTAATGTCTATATATATATGTGTGTGTGTGGGTGTGTGTAATAATTATTATTATTATTAATTATTATAACTATTAACTATTATAATATAATTATAAATATATTATTTATAATTAACTATTATATATAAATATATATAATTAACTATTATAATAATATTATTATAAATATTATTATACACACACACTCACATTTTTCTTTTGAGTCAGGGTCTCACCCTGTCATTCAGGCTGGAGTGCAGTGGTAGGATCGCTGCTCACTGCAGCCTCAACCTCCTAGGTTCGAGAGATCCTCCCTACTTCAGCCTCCAAAGTAGCTGGGGCCACAGGCACATGCCAACATGCCTAGCTAATTTTTTAAATGTCTTATTTTTGTAGAGATGGGATCTTGTCACGTTGCTCATGTGAGTCTCAAACTCCTGGGCTCAGGCAATCCTCCTGTCTCGGCCTCCCAAAGTGGTGAAATTACAGGCATGAACCACTATACCTGTCCAGTTATGTATTAATTTTAATTTAAAATACCCATGAAAAGGGGAGCAGATTATTTTTAGTACTTAAGGTCCAAATATCGTGGGCTCCTGGGCTGAAGCTCACGACCCATCCACAAACACCACAGAGGCAGACACAGCGAAAATCAGACATTGAGGCTCTCCTCACTTGCCTCTGTCTCCCTCCATCTCTGCAGCTCTGCGATGCCCCAAGCAGGAGTTTGCTTTGTATAATGGACAACCCACTCTTGGCAGGAAACCAAAATTCAATTTCCAGGAAAGGCAGAAAAGAGGGCTCTAAAAACTAGAGGACCTCTGTGGCCTTGTGGTCACCTCTCCTCTCTTGCAAAGGCACAGCTGTCACCAGAACCCCACGTCTCCACCAGCACAATGCCTCTGAAGATGCTGTAAGCGCCTAGGGAAAGCCAGCCGGCTAAAGGACGCACATGTGCACACACACACCAACTTCAGGATGGCCATCAATTCAGTTCCTCCTTTACCAAACATTGTGACATGCCTTTTCCCTCTTCTCTCTCTCTCTGTCACCAGCCTTTCCTCCCCACCTCTCCCCCTTCACAACTCCCAGTTTTATTAGTATTATTATTCTCTTAAGTGGCACTTGTAGTACCACTTCCTGCTCCATCAGGCCCCGCCGACAGCGACGGAAGCGCGCCCTCCTCGTCGTGACATCTGTCTTGGCGGCAGCCTCCTCAGGCGGTTCTCTTGGCAGCCTCCACACTGCCACCAGGCCTGTCGGGTGGCTCCACGGCTGACGGGCTGTCACCGCCGCCTCCTCTTGCGGGCTGCCATTTTCTTTTGATTTACCTTTGATTCGGAGGCATTTGCATGCTTTCATCACTTGGTGGACAAAGTCCTCGGCAAGTCCCCCATGGCTGCTTTCTGTGTAGGCAGCCAGGAAAGGGGTGGATCCCTCTGTGACTTTGCTTTGAGGTGTAAATGGAGGCCCGGCTGGCCTATGTCACGGGGAGCCCGGAAGCGGGTGTAGACTGACACTTCCCGGCTCCCCAGGAGACGCTGTGTAGTTGCTCCTCGCTTTGGCTCGGGAGCTGCTTCGCCAGTGACAAGTGTCCCCCGTGTCAATTAGTTTATTAATCACCCAGCTAGACAACTTGGTAATGTGGTAATTTCAGGGTTAGACTGCACCGAGTTCTTCCTTCTCTGGCTGGGCAGACGAGCTCGTTAAAGGACTTCCCCTGCTCTCCAGAAAACTCTTTCTCTGCCTTTGTGCACATCCCAGTGAAGCCATTCAAAACTGCAACTCTTCTTCCCCCGGCGTGCGGACAGGAGGGAGGACAGGGTTAAATTGCTAATCGAGGTTTCGTGAGGTCTGCCAGAGCCGAGTCTCCAACACTTACATCTGTTCAACAATTATTACAGCATTTTTGTCATAAAAAATTCAACACCCTGAGTGTCGTGCTAGCAAAACCTGAAAATTTATGCAGTGAATAGAATAGCTAATTTCTCTAAGGAAATGCAGGGGGAAAATTACAGATTTTACTTAAATTCTAAACACCAGAGTGCACACATCTGACGCCCTCTTTGGGTTTTTTGTCACACCACCGGACCGAAGATGTCTTCCTGTCCACCAAGAAGCGGGGATGGCCCTGGACACATGCTCTGACCTTGGAAGAAGCCATACTGTGAAACTCCAGACTGATCTATGCACCCACCCAGAGTGTCTCTAAAAGACCTCTCTCCCAATTAAATCCATGCGTGGTATAGAGTCAGACTTTGATTCCAGAGCGAGGTTAGCATGATTGGTTTGCATTTTTCCCACTCCCTTCTTCCAATTTGCCCCCACGCCTTTAAAACAGCTCCTTGGAGAAAACAGAGGGGATGGAGAAGAGCCCCGACAGCATCGAGAGTCTTTAATCTCCTTAATTCATTTTAATGCTGTTTGATGCTTGCAACGGCAGCATTGGAGTTTGCCTCTCTGCTCCATAAAGGTCTGGAATATGGATTTTATGCTAAAACTAAAGCTGTCTAGTTAGGATGCCAGCAGAGTGGAACAATATGCTACAGGCGATCCTCAACTATTCTCCAGGGCCGGAGCCTGACTTCCCCGACTGGGTGTTTGCTACCTTAATCATCATTGCAGTGGGATGAACAGGAATTTCTTGCACTGCTACCACGGTGGCACAATTAACGTTATCCAAATTTTCAGAGATTCTACTGCAGAAAGAGGATACTTGCTCCCCTCTCTTAGTGACTGCTCCAGGGACCCTGTTTATTTTCCCTGGAATGAGGTGGTCGAAGGGACCTGCTGCCTTCTGCTCACTTACTCTGTCTCATGATAGCTCAGCAAGGTAAATATTTTCTCCGTAGGGGCTAACATCTCCCAGCCATCTCACCTCAGGGCTGGGGAGCACGGCCATGCTCCGAGAGCAGAATCCATCACTGGCATTTATGTCTTAATAAAAGCATGTGCTGTTTTCAAATAAAGTAAACACTGCAGCCATTTCCTCTCTCCAGTGGAGGTTTTTCTCTTTCCTTCTGAGTCATACCCTTCTAGAAGGTGCAATGTGCCTTCGGAAGAACCCAAAGAGGCTGTGATTCAGAGATTCCAGACACAGCTCTCCAGCCCTGTAAGTGGCGGTAACAGAATGAGGAGCCCCCACTCCCTGCAGCCCAGCTCTGCCTCAGGCACAGAGCACCCACCAGGAGGGCCAGCCCCATCTGACTCCCAGGCAAACCACGTCCCCAGGCACTGGTGTCACCGCCCAGGTGCTGCCTCTGGCTCTGTCACACATGGATGCCTTCCAGTGGGTCACATCCCAGCACAGTCCTCCTGCCTGATGTCCCCCCAAGTCTGTCCTGGGGCTGGAGAGCTCTAAGGAGGGCACCTACAAGTGCAATGTTTGCCAGCCAGGGCAGAGCGTCAGTGACCCCAACCAAGTGAGTCCTGCTGCGGCCCTGCATGGAGACTATCAGAAAAATAACACAGACACGAGCTACAACCACACTGCTGTCAGTGCGTCCCAAGCTCTCGTGCCAAGCACTTTGTCTGGCTTAATTTTCAGAACCGCCCTGTAAAGTACATATGATCATTCCCTTTTTCTTGCTGATGAGTCCAGAGCTCAAAAAGATTAAACAAATTCGCCAAGACTGCCCAGCAAGTAGCCAGTAGGGCCAAGATCAGATGTCAGACAGGTCAGACGTAGAGCCCCTGCCCTCTCCACCGCGCCACCCTGCCCTTGAGGCGGCTTTTCAGTTAAGAAGTAAATTTAGCACAAGATGCACAACAAAAATGGTAACAGGGCAGGACTGAGGAATGAGGCATGTCTGCCTGCTGGGGGCGGACCATGCCTGTGCAGCCTGCTCTTCAGAAGAGAAAGGCAGAGACAAACCAGAAGGTGCAGGGACTTAGCTTGACTTGAGAAAATGAGGCTTTGGGAGGCACCACTTCCAAGAAATGTTTCTATTGCCGTCTTCTTGCTCCACAGCGGTGGTTTTCCAAGCATGTATCCCATAGAAGAGAAGTTTCAGGTCCATCTTGGTGGAAATGGTGCTGCAAAGCTCCCTACGACTGTCAGCATTGATCTTCTCTTATTTATTTATATGCCCGATCTTAACGTCCAGGTCCCAGGAACATCCACCCCAGCGAGATCCCCTTTCTCCACCTCCACCAGCTGTTAGCCAGGCAAGAAGATCTTAGAGCCACACTGTGTGCTGACTGCCTCTACAGCAGGTACCCTGGACCTCCACAGCAACACGAAAGGATTGTAACTGTTTCCACACATACCTCATGCCATTTGTTGCCACATAAATTTTCCCTAAGCATACTGGTTGAATGAAAGCAATGAGTATGTATTGCCCCACAGTCTCATAGGTGAGGAATATTTGGGCACAGCTTAACTGAGTCTTCAGTTTCAGGGTCTCCTGCAGAAGGTAGCCTAGGTGCTTTCAAGGGCTGCAGGCATCTAAGGCTTACCTGAGAACAGGATCTGCTTCTGAGCATACTCACGTGGTTGCCGGCAGGAATCGGCTCCACAAGGACTGCTGGACTAAAGGTCTCAGTTCTTCACTGGCTGGGAGTCATCCCCATTCGCTTGTCCTATGGCTTTCTCCATAGGGCAGGTCCCAACAGGACAGCTTGATTCATTCTTGTAACCAAGCGAGGAAACAGTAGGAGACAGGCTGCTCTCAGGACAGAAGTCATATCTTTTATAAACTAATATCAGAAATGATATCCCTTCCCTTTTCACATATCCCATTCACTAGAAGTGGGTCACTAGGTCCAGCCCAGGTTCAAAAGAGGTGCTCACACAAGGATGAGAATACCAGGAGGCAGAGATCTTGGGAACCGCCTTACAAGTTGTCTGCCTCACACCTCAATCCTACCCTTTAGAATGGACAGTTTTCACAGTGTTGTGGCCTCGTCTATCACTGGGAGGCCTGGAAAGAACTCTTTCAATTCTCCTGCGCCAGGAACCAATGTTTTTTCTCACCTTATGGGTGGTTTCTAAAGACACCGAAATACCTGCTCCTCTTTCTCTACAAAGTCTCTGCCATTACAGGGACCCAGAAAATGTGCTGTAGCGTCATAGCCCTTTACTAAGCCCCTGCTACAGATCAGACACTGAACTAGAGCTTAAAATATTTTGTCTCAATTAATCCTTAAAGCAAGCCTAAGTGGCAGCATTTAATGAACGAATGAGGACTCGGAGGCTCAGTGAGGGTAAGGAATGTGCCCAGTACCATTCATCCACATATGTAGAGGAGTCTGAATTCAAACACAGAGTGTATTTTGTCCATTTAGCCACAGACTCCCAGAATTATTCCTGAAGCTTCATTTCAGAGGAATTACACATTCATTCTGGGTCTCACAGCATTCAAAGAAATTCTCACACATCCTACTTACATGGAAACCTAAGGTTTAGCATAACTGTATGTTCTGGATTTTTAAGTGAATTATGCCATTTTATTCATTCAATAAAACAATTATAGAAACACATAGATAAACATGAATTGCTTACATTTATTTGAACCATATGGCATTACCATTGCTAGTGGTCAAAATATCAATTACCAGTAATTCTATAGGGTTTAGTCTAAAGTATTTTTGCTCATATTGATACTTACAGATGGACAAATGAGTCTTTTATACTATAAATAATCTTTATACCACAACTTCTATAGACTTCAAAAAAAAAAAAGAGAAATGAAGGTTTCCTCTCTCTGTAGATACCAGTGTATGGCAAAAGGAACAATACTGACAATGTTTAATGAGCATCTCTGCTTGGACCTTTACTATTAGATTGTATTAAATATTTACAACAGCTCCAGTGTAGATACTCTGATCCCAACTTTTATACTGAAGATGAATCAAGTTTAAAGAGATGGATGATTTGCTCAAAGTCATGCAGTGAACTGACAGAATCAGCCTCATAACCTGCTAAATGTGCTTGATTCCAAAGCACATGTTCTCTCCACTCAATTTTGTCTTACCAAGAATCACGTACTGGGAATTTGCTGGAGGCCATGAAGTTCTGCCTGAGTTAGCTTGTCCCTCTGTGCTGTTGAAACATACATAAACACTAAAATACCAAAACAATTATGGCCACTGGAAACAAAGCCATCTCAAAGATAAAGTCCCCACTCTCTATTTTAGAGGTGACCAAGAAAAGATTGTCAGTGACTCATGAGTGAATTCTGATGCAAAGCAACTTGACTAGTGGAAGAAGATAGGAGAAAATTTCCAACTATACAATCTGCAGATCCCTTTAGCACCTTGGTGACTGAACCACTCATTGTAAGTCCTGGTGATAACGCCTACCCTTTTGAGTACCTTTATTTTATTTTATTTTTTATTTATTTTTATTTATTTATTTTTTTGGAGACAAGGTCTCACTCTGTCACCCAGGCTTGAGTTCAGTGGCACCATCTTG